TTCTGCATCCTTATCCAGGTTGGAGACTAGAACAAATTATTTTCCAGAATTTCAGAAAAAATACATCCAATACTTCGCATTTTGTGTTTGCTTCCACTCCAAGGAAGCTAATGCAGCCCTCACTATGGGCAACATAGCATAGAGTCCACTACAGGTGCAGCTTATAAATTAAAATTTAAAAGCAACCAGGTGAGTCAAATGCCTGGCATCTGTATTGATTTTCACAAAATAGGCATGCACAACACTCAAGAGCTAAACTAACCAAAGGCTTCCAATGTGCTCCGCACACAAGACAAAAACCAGACGTGAATTTTCAAGGCGACAGAACAGTGAAGTTTACATCACAACACACTGATACCGCTGTAAGAGATGGCGAGAAAAGAGGCAGCGCTGAGACCAAACAGGTATCTGGAGAAGAGCATCAAGACCGGCTTGCTAGGAGGTTTACTGAGCACAGCAACAGGACCTTGATAAAGAGCTTCTCAAAACAAAAGCTGGACTAGACTTCAACAGGAAAGCAAAAAGCGGTGTTGCTCAGTTGGAAGCCTTGTGCCCAGGGCTTGGCTTTGCTGCAAATAAGTGGCAGAAGTGCACAGAGAGGAAGAATACCAAACATTTGTGGAAAAGGCACTCTCTGTATTCATCTACACTACAACAGCAAGGGTTTCACTAAGAGCCATTTAGCCTGAACGAGCAGGAAAAGAACGTGTATGCATTAACCAGCTTGCTAGGAGAAGTTACACAACACACTTGAGCCCCAACCGGAGAGACATGCTTTGCTTTGATCCTTATTACAGTAGCACCTGCGAGCCCTCGCCCGAATTACGCTAGGGGCTGTTCTACGCAGAAAGGCTTCCCCCAAAGACTGCAGGCTGCGTCCTTGCCTCAGCTTTGGCAGTCCTTATTTAAAAAGCAAAGCCAAGACACAGAAGTGACCTTCCTACAGTCACACCGAGTTGGAAGAAACACAAGGAACAGAAAACCGGTACTCCAGTGCGAGCCCGTTCTCTTTACCAGGCAGCAAACAGAACACTACGCTCCATTCAACTTGAAATATTTTAGGGAAACGATGTGCAAATTTCTTTCCTGCACCCCTGAAGACCAAAAAAAAAAAAAAAAATCTTCCTAACCCTGCATTTCAAGAAGAAATGGAATACAAGCCCAAGCTCATAACAAAAGAAGTTCTTTAAGGAAGGGGAAACTGTAGGGTCACAGCCCTAAGGTTTCTGGGCATACATGCTCCAATCCTTGTTCCTTCAAGTTTTCAGTTCACATATTTATCCCTGCGCAAAGCTGATGCCCCCGATACAAGAGGCACATGCGGATCATGAGCTTTTGCCAGGAACTGCTGCTATTTATACCCAGGGAGGTAAAAGCAGCCCTAGCACATGGCAAGTTTCTCATCCTCATTGCCAGGTGGCAGCAGAGGTCAAAGGCAATCGGGACCTCTCCAGGTCTCCGAGCAGTGATTTGCTTGCTGAAAAATGATTTTAAATGACCTTTTATGAAACATACAACTCTAATAGTAATGTACAGGCCCATAAATTCAGAGTCAGCTTCCAGCCAGTACAAAATGCAGAAGCAGCAACGTTAAACAGAATCCATGCAGTGGACAATAAAAAACAAAACAAAACAAAAACCACACAGCAAAAGAGTTGAAGACAGATCATTTGCGAAAGCAGCGAGTGACAAACACATCACCTTCAGCAATCCCCATGAGAAGCAAACTCAGCAGCCTTAATTTCCAGGAAATATTAAGCGCCTTCTGAATAGAATAGCATCTTCCAAGTATCTGAAAGTGGCTGCCCAAAGTTAATCAGCACTTCATGAAGTTTAACGAGCCATTTGCATTAAGAGTTCCATAGAAGCACTGTAGTTAGAACTCAGGATTTAAAAAAGGCTGGTCATTAGATACAAAATATCAGACAATTAAAAGCCATTCATGTTTTAATTAATGTTTTTTATTACTTCTAGATGTTGCTAAGGACACTGGGGATACCAGCCCTGATCTTATTACAGTCTCCCTGGACACTAGCAATACCTTAAATAATTTTTTCACATCAGTTAAGTGCACACAACAGATGAGAGCCATAGATAAGTGGGGTATCTTGCTTTTAAAGCATTATGCTCTTCAGATAACTCTACTACTGCCAAAGAACAACTTGCTCTCTAATACCCCTGAAGTCAGCCTGCAATGTTTTCAAAACGAACGCAAGAGTCTGAAAGGAGCAAATCAGCTGCTTCTGGCTCTGAACAGCTTTGGCTGCAATCCTCAAACTCCTGTCACAGTTAACTCCCAAGAGAATCTGCAAGAACTGCAAACCTACGCAGCGTGGTGGATCTGAACTGCAGGTGCCTTCACCTCACACCCTGGGTGGCGAGGGGAATTCCTGTTGTCTATTTTCAGGCACCATGGAATGCCTAGGTTAAAGCCAAGGCTTTCCAGGCAGTTGATGATTTTCAGTCCGAGTATCTCAAAGCACCTCCAGAGATCTTCAAGAAAGGAATCTGGTTCCTAGCACAGGTATCTAAACTCGGTGTGACTGAGGAGAGCACACCTAAGTAAGAAGCAGCTACCAGAACACACAACTGGGCTCCCACAGCACTGTCCATGCACACCCTCCAAACCGAACAATATAATTTACTCCACGTCTGAGCGCAGACAGCCTGTAACCCTGTTGTACAAGATATTGTAATGATCATGGTGAGATTCACCTGCCCAAATCTCCAAACACTGGTGTCCCATGAGAGCTTTTAGAAGCCCTTCATGAGCTCAATGAAGCACTGAAACAGAAGCTGAGGGACTGTCCAGTAAGTAACACCAGGACAGCAAGCGATGCAGTAAGAAGGTGGATTCTAGCAAAGTTCAAGGACAACTGAAGTTCTAGAGGCTTCCTGCTCCTTCTGACTTACTAGAAGGTTGTCATTTCCTTCGGCGCGCTAGGCAGCACGTGCAAGCAAACCAACTAACCAAGAACTGAACCGTGCTATCAAGACAGACGCAGGAAAGCTGTACTATCCTCTTTCAGAATCACAGGTACACTGAGATTACGAGACGACAGGTGGAGTAGCGCAGCAGATGCCTGCACAGCACTGCACCCTTCGCAGAGGAAGCTCATTAGAGAATGAGGAGGTTAAGTGACTTGAACTGGGTCACACAGTGACCCCCGGCAGAGGAGCAAGCTCAGCTCGGTCGCTCCGACAGCTCTGGTCCATGCGCTACCAAGGAAAAGCCATACCTCCCTCACGAGCAGTTGTGCCGCACTCCAGCACGCCGCGTGCTCTTCCTTGGCCGTACCGCGCGCACACGCGGGGCTGTAGCTCGGTAGATCATTCACAGGCGCAAAGCAAACGGGAGAAAAGTAAAGTTACCATCTCCTGCTACAACTTTCCCCAGCAACAAGCCGTTTCCTTTCACCTGAGACAAAGTCCACGGAGGCCCTGATAACACTCAGGAGGTGCTAGCACAACCGCCGACCTGACCGAGGCAGCACGTGACCCTGGAAACAGAAAGTCAGAGGTACCCCCGTTCTGCAGCCCCTTACTTCTCCGTAACAGACGGACCGGGGTCAAATGCAGCTTTTGTTGCCATTTCCTACTATTAGAGATAACGTGCACGAAAAGGATGCCCTTACTGCCATGCCTGTTCATCGCGTGCTCCCTGCTTCCCGGTATAACTTACTAGGCTGCGATAAAGAACTCAGCCAGACATAGATCAAGTTGCCCGCTCCTGGAACGTGAGTCGCTTTGATCTTATGTGCTTCAAGGAGAGGGAAAAAGAAGAAAAAAAGGAAGTCAAGCAACAAGGATTCCTCCAGGAAAGCAAGGCTACTGACATTATCTCCTCAGGAGCAATATAGTTTAATTCCTTTGCTCCTGACTGTATTCCGCACTGGCTTACAAACAAATAGGAGTCACTGCGGTACATGAAGAGGTTGCTAATAACAGCTTTTATCGGCTATTACCGCAACATAAGCCAGCCTCGCCATACCAGACACGCGAG